AATCAGTTTTTACCATATGGTGTTCACTAAGGATACTCAGATCTCAAAAAAAAAATTTTTTTTTTGTCATTTCATCTTCTTAATGCACCACAATCAAGGTGTAAGGAGTGTCTTTTTATCAGTTTTATCATTTTCCTATCTTGTATTTGTTTGCTTGTTCAGTTAAATTACCTGGATTAAGATCATAGCATGACAGGTTGAAATTTGTTATTCACTCTTTTTTACCTCTGAATATTTTCTGCATCAGGTCCGCAATTATACTCCACCTCCGTCAATCAATAACAGTATTAAGGTAAGGAAATTTTCTTTTATTTCCCAACGCTTATTTGGTTTAGGTAACTCGTGAGATTGAAATTAAAAAATATGTTGCACTAATACGGGAAAGGGATGAGAAATGACAATTTCTAAAATTATAGGGTATGGATCCTATCAAAAAAAATTATAGGGTATGGGTAGTGGGTACGGCAAGGGTACGCTAAATATGAAATAAATTTTAAAATTTTAAAAGACATAAAAATGTCATAAATATTCATTAAAGTTTATAGTAACTAGAATTCTTTGATAAAAGTTGGAGATTGTAGTGGATATAAACCAAATTTTCAGCACGACTTGGATTTAACTTTTTTTTTTGGATAGAAGTTGGAGGTCTCATTAAAAACTCCCGTCGTATTCGTTTACATACTAAGAAGTATATTAGCGAACATTGGAAGGAAGAAAAGAGTACCTCATAGTTTATTAATAATAATACCCAATACATAAGATAACCCAGAATATCCTCCTATGGTGATATACACCATTACAACAAACACCTTAAACTCACACATCGTCATCCAAAAGCCACAGTCGACTATCACCTTATTTCTAAGTTACACCTCCAGCAATAAGATAAAAAACAACGCAGAAGAACATAATAAAAAAGAAAAGCAACACCTGCAACCATTTAAACTAAGTCAAAGCCACAATTGAAGATAGGAGATCTAATAAGATTTCGTCTTTGTCAGGGGCCCAAGAGTTTGGTTTGAATGAAGGCTCAATCTCATGCACCATGATTTTGAAGTTGTCACCGACCTTCAATTCCAACGTCGCATCAATTCTCACAGAGCCTTTGTGAGGACTTGAATTTTTGCCCGATCAAAAGATGATGGTGACTGATAGCTTTCGTCGATTGCTAATAAATAACCCCACTTATCTGCAATGTTTTTGAAAGTATCTCAATTCCATGCGTGAAAAGGAACACCCTCGCAAACTAACAATACTCGACGAAACTCCACTACCAAACTCTTCGACCAAGCTTCGACTCTGGAGAACCACTTTGCGAGAGTCTCTGATTTATCGTTCTTGACACTTCTCAATGAAGCAGAGTCTTCGAAAATCATTAATAACGCATTTCCAGCAGCTCTCATTAAGGAGAAACCAGTGAGGCCCTTCGTTTGCATTTGTCTAGCGAGATGACCTATTTTGATAAAGTCTTTGCACCACCCCACCAGACATTTACTCAACACTTGAAGTTTTTCTTCGTCCATAACACCTTCTACTTCACAATTATTCTTCCTCGAATCACCTTCCATCCCAGAATTACGGTGAATAGTTGTAGTGGTCTTTCTCAAAAAAAGACTGGCGAGGTTTGAATTTAGCCAAAGATACACTAACTTTGCACCCGTCAATGTGAGATCCATCCATTTCTGAGATCGCTTTCCTTGCTTCTTCGATTGTTGCAAAACGAATGAAACCAAGGCGAAGCCCTTTCAAATTTCTTTTGTTTGGAATGAAAGCGTCAATAACCCGACCGTGGGTGCAAAATAATGATCCAAACCTCTTCCAATGGAACGACTTGGATTTAACTTATTCCTCCTAAGTGAGTGGACAAATGAATAAGTACTCTATTTTCTTTCACAACAAAAGGATAAAGTAGGCTTTCCAAGAACTTTGAAAGCCAAAGATTGGAGCAATGGAGTTTTGACACCAAAGTTAGTCTACCAACTTTTTGGATCCGAAGAATACCTCTTTGTAAGAGAAATTTGTCCTAACTAAAAAATAAAATAAAATCCTAATTCATCTATATATTTAAATCTTAAAAAAATCATGAGTACGCTTGAAGGTCAAATATCGTCCCCGACACGTTCCCAAGCTGTACCCATCCCGTACCCTTGTTGAGGACGTATCAGGTACAACACTGAGTTGCTGTACCCGTGCTACATAGATTAAAATATCTTTCCTTGTGAAACTTGACAAATATTTTTGTATCAAAAGTGGATTGAACTTGTCTTTCTGCTTCAATGTATTTGCTTCATCTATTCTGTTTTTCATCATATCAAGATTTGTAGTATGCCTTAATTTGGGCCACTGTTATCACATTTCGTCTTAAGATAATGTTTGGATATAGATTTTTAAAATTGTGTAAATTGAGTGATAACGCACATAAAAATATAGTATTCATGATTATTTCTCAAATCCCTTGATTTATTGAATGCCAATTTAGTAGTGAATTTGAAATTCCTAAGGTAGATTTGGAAAATTGGATTTGAATTCAAAGATAGTGTAAATTGAGTAATAAAATGCTTAAGATTGCAACATTCATGATTATTTCTCAAGTCCATGGATTTGTTAAATGCCTATTCAGTAGATATTTTGAACTTTCTAATACAAATTTGGATTAAATCCTTGTTTTTATGTTTTTCTACTATGTTTTCTATTCTTTTAACTAAATATCCATAGTGTATGTGTTTTTTTATGTAAATGAAACCCAAATCCTAATTTTGAAATTCAATTTTCCAAACGGAAGATAAAGGAACTTATGAATTGCACAGATTCATGTTTTTCTTAACTATTTGTTATATTGAAACCCAACTAATTTATTCATAACATATGCACTTCTTTCTTACAATTTATATAGAAAATGAAATCCAAATCCAAAATTTTAAAATCATCATCTCAAACGTACCATGAAGAGATTATCATTTAGTCCCTTTACAAATTCCATGGTGCTATAAGATGTCTCATTCTAGTGCCTGATATTCCCAAAGTTTCCTTGATATGTCAGTAATTTTTGTTAAAGCTATTGAAATGACCTTAAAAGTGCTACTTCAATTGTTTCCTTGGCGATTTAATGGTTGATATGACATGTAGCTACTCTATACCAATTTTGATGTCTTGGAATCTCAAATTGACTTTATTTATTTCTATTGATTGATCATCTAGATGGAAGTTGGGATTGAGGATTGTCTACACATTGAATTTGAATACAGTAAAAGCAAGTATGTTACTCAACATGCAATTTTCGATGGGAGTTCATGTATAATCCCATGCCAATTATTTTACACCAAGTTGGAAGGGTACTGATGTGTTTATGTTTGGATTTCAACTATTCAGGTATCATTTGAAGGATGTCATTATTGGCAAGATATATTTTCTTCTTGTTAGAATAAAACTAAAAAATATGGAGCTTGAGATCAGGCGCCGAGAGTCAACTGGATCAGGGCCAAATACATATGTTGAGACAGAGACCCTTGCTAAATTCGAGTTGATGGATGGTGCCCCTGTCAGAGGTTAGCAAACTTCTCTATCCCATACCCAACGTCATGTTTTTAATGCCACAGATTTAGAATTCTGTGCAGATATCTTAGATATTCTTTAGCCCACAGCACTTTTACTATCATGCTTTTATAGAATACCTCCTAGTGTTGATATTTGTCTTGATGTTCGTATTGATGAATATGCTGCTATGACTTTATTTTTCTTGAAGTTTCCATGTACGCACGTATTTGAACATCGGTATGTGGAATATACTCTCGAAGGACCTTCCAAATTAATGAATAGACTTGGTAGCAATTGAATATACATCACGTCAGACACATCCTAGTAGCTGTTGCTCCCAAAACCAAGTAACATAGGGCAGCGATACTGGCCAAGTATTGTACGGTACATGCTACAGTTGTTGGTCAAGATCGCAGCTCCAGTTGGAATACTATCATTTAGACTAAGTTTCGATTATAAGTTCTTTATGGAACTGAGAAGTTGATTGTCGTACTTATACATGTTTCTCCTCAAAAAATTACTAGACTGATATCGTCTTTTATAATAATTCTAAGGTCCGTAATTAATGAGCTCTTATCTAAACCATGATAACATTCTGCTGGATTTTGGATTGGTCAGCTTTATTATCTAGTTATATATAAGGCCACTAGGCGTATCTAACTTGAGCTGTTATGGATGCTTTTGCAGGAGAATCAATTCCAATCAGACTGTTCTTAAGTCCATATGAACTGACGCCAACATATCGTAACATCAATAACATATTCAGTGTGAAATACTATTTGAATCTTGTGCTAGTGGATGAAGAAGATCGACGCTACTTCAAACAACAAGAGATCACTATGTACCGGATTCTTGAAACTTCATAAGTCTTCTTTCAAATCCGGACGTGTTCAGACATATGAAGATCATAATACTTCGCCTCTTCCCGGTGTAGTTTGAGCCTGTTAATGAAGTTTTTTTTGGCTGTTTTGCACGAATGCACTGGTTTCGTATGATGGCACGGTATTCGTATCCCTGTCTTGCTTATCCATCATATATTTTTCGAATCGATGAACAGAAAACAAATTATAAAAGAGGGTTCCATTGCTGGTTGTAGACTTTGAGGAAGTTGGCAGGCTTGCTTGGTGAGTCCTTTCTTGGTTTTTTTTTTTCAATTTAATCTCTAGTCATTTTGAATAAAAGTTCTTGTACTTTTTTGGGGGTACATTGTTGTACTGTTTTATGCATCAGTATTTCTGCCATTAGAAATGTTTTCCAATATTTTTATCCTTTAATTTAGGGGGAAAACAGTAAATTTATTAGAAATTTTGGTGTCCTTGCACCAAAATGTTTTTTCAAATTAGTTCAAATTTATTAGAAATTAACCTATAGACAAAAAATTCAAAAATCATTCATCAGTCTCTAACTAAAATTATTTTGGTGGCTGATCGATTGATCAATTAATTCGATTTGATAAACTGATTGATTAAAATCGAATTGTACACCCCCTATCCAAGCTTTCCAACTCTAATATCAAAGAAAACAATTGGAAGATCCATGGCTGTGTAACAGTCGGGAAACATGGGGCACGACAAAAAGCATGAGCAAAAAGATCAAAGTCATTAGAGTTGGGATTGATTTACTTTGTTTCTTCCATGTCCTCCTCATTTTTCCAGACAACATCCTCAAGATATGTTGAAAGGTTTTTATAGAACTGCAGATGAACAAAATCAAATGAATGTTTTAAATGGAATATCTGTAATGAAGGAGAAACTTTAGAACAGACATAAACTGTCACTATATTGACTAGAGAGACTTGAAGATCACCAGACATGTATTCAGACATAAATATGAGAATATGGTTATATGTCAGCCATCTATTTTCACTAATCTAACGGTCCTAAATGTGTGTAAAACTAATTAGTTTTATGCGCCTTCGAGACGGACACTCACTTCGAAATCCATATCACATAAGGAGGCAGATTAGAGCGTATGTAGGTAAAAGTGCAATCCTTGATCACAAAAAGATAGACCTTTATCTCAAGCGAATTCCATAGGTCATCTTAGCTATTCTATAATGTACACTATGCCATTACATTGGTTCATCAAACTCAGAAAAACACAGTATTAACCCGAGAATGCAACGACTGAGATAATCGAGTGGTACCTTATGAAATTCGAGAGTGTCCCCCTTTGATTTCCGCAGCTCAACCATATGTAAAGAAGGTGCCACTTGAAATATCTGATTCACATGATAAGAAGTTTGATAACTGCACAATATGAGCCAAGAATAGAACGAAAAATTTGGTGTAAGTTACCTCCGTTGCCACGTTAAGGTTTCCTTTCCTCCCGGCCTTTGAGTTCTCGAGTCTCATCTGATGTTAAATTTTAAGAAATAAGTAAATTCGGTATTGAGATTTCAGTAATTTACCTTATAACATGTTTAAGATTCTATCACCTTGTAGTTTTTCTTGTGGACATCGAAGCCGAGAGGCTTTGCGGCAGCTTCAATCATATGGATGATCTCATCAGCCGGACATTTAGACGTAAACCTCGTTTCCCTCTTGAATCCCTGCAAAAAATAGAAATACTAATAGTTCATATCAGCCAATTCGTTTCCGGCTCCATTCTCCAGACAGTCGACACATATATCAGATAGTTACAAGTATCAATAGCCTAACAATATCAGAAACTGTTTGATATGGCAATGGACAATCAGCACATATCCCTTCGGGTAATGATAAATGCAAACCTGTTCTGCATCGAACAGATTCCCAAGGTTTAACCCTTTCGACATAGAGATTAAGTCGAAAGCGTTCATAGTTGTTGGTTGTTCTTCTTCTCTCTTTTCCATCACGTGGTGCACCTATTACAGAACCAAAATGATAACTTGTTAGGAAAAACAGAAGTTCATTAGCACCAACTATAGCAGCACTTGTCCCGTATCGATACATCGGTTATTCTTTTGGAAAGACAACATCCTCTTACTTCGGAATCCTTGAAAACAGCTTCGACATCATCTAAGTTGACATCGTCTTTTTCCTCGAATTTGGGAGGTTTATAACCTTTCTTAAACCATTCATCCTGCAAAATTTCCGGAATGGTAATGCGCTGCAACACGAGAAAGAGTGATGTATTCATTAACATTAATTATGCAAACACTTGAGCATAATTGAAGCATCATCTACATTTAGAGGTTCTGACTTACAGTCATGGGGTTCGGATCCAAGATCCGAGTTATCAATTTCATTGCACTGAATGATAGCCAAGGGGGGCAAGTGAATTCAGCTGCCCAAATCTGTGGATTTGTAAAACGAGAGTTAAAAGCATGCAATGGTTAACATTGGATAACTTGACATACACGAAATAACCAACCTTCTTATATAGGTTCATAAGATTAGAATCATCGAAAGGCAAGTATCCGGCGAGCAAGACAAAGAGTATGACGCCACATGACCAAAGGTCCGCCATTGCACCATCATAGCCTCTATCATTAAGGACCTATATAGAAAGGAAAACAAAAGTAAACCATTAAAAAGGAAAACCAGAGGTTTGAAGGGGTTACAAATGCTGGATTGAAAACAAGGTTCCGAACCTCGGGTGCGACGTAATTCGGTGTTCCGCAGGTAGTGTGGAAGAGACCGTCATCCTACAAAATCCAACTTCGAATAAGAAACATTTCTTGATGTTCTAAACATCATCAAAGGTGAATATATATGGAATTACACATATGGAAGATTCAAGAAAGCTTGAGCTTTCAGATATCAAAAGCTTTATGATTATCAACAATGTGGAAGAGAAGTGTTGATATATTTACCCTGACTTGCTGAGACACTGCACTCAACCCGAAATCTGAAACTTTGAGATTACCGTAAGCATCCAAAAGCAAATTTTCAGGCTACAACAAGATAAAGAGACTATAAATTTAAATCCTTTTTTCGATCGAAAGCATAACTGGCATGTATGTATAATGTATGAACATATTCATCCTTCAAGGGTAGCAGTTTAAGGGTACCTTAAGGTCCCTATGGTAGACACCCCTGCTATGGCAATAATCAACAGCATTGATGAGCTGCTGAAAGTATCTCCGGGCCTCGTTTTCGATCATCCGACCATGATTTACCTTCATTCAAGAAACGGTTAAAGAGCTGATCCATGACCCCCTGAATGAAAACCTTACATATATGCAGTAATAACTTCCTATATTACATTGAGATCGATCCATGACCCGGAACGAAAACCTTAAATATTTGCAGTAATAACTTCCTAAATTACAATGAGATGGATCCAACACTTCAACAACTCACAATTTTATCAAACAGCTCTCCCCCGGTGGCGAACTCCAACACAATGAATATCTTTGTCTTGCTTCCCATCACCTGAACAAGAAAGAATGCACCAGATATTAAGAAATTATTCGAAGCTCGTTGCTTCTTGCCGGTTATTAAAACCGGTTCGCATGCTGCTCTTTCATCCTAATCGGATGCCGAATCATATGTAGACTGATGCAAATGTGCATACAAGTCACAATACAGAGAAACCTCATGTAAACGAACAACATTCGGATGCTTTATCAGCTTCATTGTAGCTATTTCCCGCTTGATCTACAAAACAAGCACACAGAAAATCATGTAAAGAAACCTGTACTCATTTCAAACATCCAATGATCCTTCATATACACAAAAAAAAGGGAAAAATCGAACCGAACTCGTAATCGACTGAGGCACCTAATCCGAACAGCATAGGTTTTGAGCATCATTCTCAAATCATAAAGCAAGAGGCAAGAACTTGAAACAGAAGAAAACAAACCTGTTCAGCCATTTTATGCTTGAGAACCTTCTCTTTATCAAGAATTTTAAGTGCCACTGGTGCCCCAGTCTCAGAATTCCTAGCAAACTTCACCTTCGCAAATGTCCCTTCCCCAATAGTTCTTCCCACTTCATATTTACCCATACGACGCTTGATTTTAGGTTCATTCATTTCTCCTATGTAACCCCGGGTTTCTTCTACAAGGTTTTTGAAAGCTAAGGACTGTAACAGTGAAATCAAAAACATTTAAAAATGGTGGCAAAATGAAAAGTAAATTCCAGTGAAATGCTGTGAAAAAATCAAAACAAATGTAAAATGCAGAAAAAAAAGAGGGGGAGAAAGGTATATTACAGCCAAGGAAAACAGCCAAAATTATTATGAAACAACCCACCATATAAAGAAATTACAAAACAGATTTTTCCTACCAACCTCATATAGAATACCCAACAAGAAGCATATTGAAATAAACAAATGAAATTTCCCAGAAAAAAAAAATAATTTCAATTTTTTTTGAGCTTGAGGTGAGCTGACAGCCGAGGCCAAAGGGTTGAGAAGCATCAAACAACAGTCAAAGTTTTGATATTGAATGTACGTAAAGACACGAAATTTAAACAAAATTCCATAACGGTTCTACAAAGTATGGAACCATATATGTTTTTTTTTTTGAGAATATGGAACCATATATGTTAAATGTATAGCGAACTACACAACTAAAAAATTATAATTTTATTAAAATTTAATAAGTTAATTTTAAGCAAATCCTTATACTTTTTAATATTTACATAATAAAAACACATTTTCTTGTGTACATCGCTTTAGTGGTACGTTGCGATATACGCCGTGTGCTGTAGACTTATACACACACAACTGCAGGTATAATTAAATAGTGATTAAAAAAAGCATATAGTTGAAAGATTAAAATTATTTGGTTATCTTAATTACGAAAACTTAAAAATTAGTTCGGCTGTTAAATCTTAGGTTAAATTATACTCGTGACCATTTAATTATATAGATTTTAATCTGATCATTGATTTCCTAACTTTATTAATTAAATTGTTTAACTATTTAAATAATGTCGAATAAGTTATATGTCGTCAACATTTGACGGAAAAACTGACCAGGAAGATAACAGAGTTTGTATAATTATGCACATAGTCCTCATTTCTTATCAATTTTATAAATCAACACTTTAATTATTTATATGTAAAAAACAAATTTAGTATTTTTGCAGTCAATGAAATCTACGTTGACAAATACGTGGCATTCAATTGAAGGAATCATTATATCAAATCTATGGGAGAATGGATTGGTGTTTAAACTTTAGTATGAAATGGATGTTGAGAAAATAGGACAAAGAAAAGGTCTGTAAAATATAAAGAGAAAACATTTTCATTTAAAAAATATATATTTATATGTTCCTAATTAATATAAATAATATATTTATCAACAATTAGATTATTATTTTTATATAAAAGCAGTGATTGAATCAATTATTGAAAAGGCAAAATGATAAATTAAGATTGGATATAAGGATAAAATTATGAAAAAGAGGTGAGACCATTGGGGCATTGATGAAGAGTTTGTTTGTTGTGGTTGGGTGAAAGGCAGCACATTAAACATTAATGATTTGTCAGGCCTCTCCATTCAATTCCAAAAAACATTAGGGTAAAGTACACAAATGGTTTCTTGACTATAGAGAACTATTTTATTAAGTCTATTGATTACTAAAAATCACAAAATGGTTCTATGATTGTAGAATGTTACCTTGTTATGTTCGCCAACTATTAAAAGTTACATAATGCTCACCCGATTATTTGTTATGGTCCAAACTCGTCATTTTCTGTTAAAAAATTAACAGTTGTGTAAACTGGATGTTTAACATGATAACTAGGATATGATGGTCTTTGAGATTCTATGATCAGATTTGATCATGTCATAGTTAGTATGTTAATGTTCAGCTCAAAATACTATCAATTTTTTTAACGAAAAAGATGAGTTTGAATCATAATAAATAGTTAGGTAACCATTTTGTAACTTTTAATAGTTGAGAGACTCAACAAATCAACGTCCTATTGTCAAATGACCATTTGTGTACTTTACTCAAAACATTCACATATCAACAACCAATTATTTTAATGAAATAAAGCGATGAATTCTCCAATTTAAAATCTATATTGTAATCAAATTAAAAATAATATTTTTATAACGAATACCTATAATAATGTCATTTATAAGAGTTTAATTAATGTTTAATGTCATGATATTTTAGTTTTTGTTTACGGATAAAAAAAAGTCCGAATAGAGGTAAATTAAATTATTAAGGAGTGCATGAATTTATTTATCTCAATGGTTAAAAAAATCGATATTATTCTTAAATATCACGAATTTAAATATCAACAACGATAGGAGATCGATTGATATAAAGATATTTAGAACATCAATCAATTAAATATAGATAAACATATTTAAAAAGTCCATTATTACATTTGTGTTTGAAGAAAGGGACCCTCAAATAAAGAATAACAAAAGAGGTTTCCATTTTCACGCAACAGATTTTCAGACAGAGCGACAGACAGCACCACTTTTCTTTATTACTTTCATGATTGATTACTATTATTGTCATCGCCCTGCCTGCTCCAACTTCACCTTTCATACATCATGCCACGAATTTTATAAAAAAATAAATTAAATAATATGAAATAAAAGCATAAAAAAAGGTTTAACGTGATTCATGCAAATTTTTTTATTTTATACATACGATAGACATTTTAAATTGACTATCAGACAAATCCAACAAAAACAACAATAAAAACTTCTTCAAATCTTGCCCAGAGCCTAAGCTAAGCCTAGTACCTATCCGAACTACTACAGTCCTTGCCTAGAGCTCCCGTTATACAGGTAGGGATGGATGTGTGTCTAGTTGGGTTGGGTTGGGTTGGATTTTCAATCCATTTAAGCGGACTCGAAAATATATATATTTTACTTGAAACTCGATTCGAATTTAGAGTTGAATTCACCTGATTTGAATCAATATAATCTTTTGAGATAAAACTCAAATTCGATCCGATCCTATCTCAAATAAATATATTTATAAAAATATTATTTTTATTCAATAAAAATATAAATCTAATTGAAAAATATATATAGAGGTTTATTATTGTAATTGTTTCTAAATACATAAGGTAAATTTATATTTTTTTGGGTCGGGTCGATTTTCACACTAAACCCGAACTCGATCCGATCTGAACATGTTTTTTTAAAAACCCGATTTGACCCAATCCAATTTTGTTTAAAAAAATTAAACCAATCGAATTGAGTCAGAACCCATCTGATTTAGGTCTCGTGCCCATCCCTACACACAAGCAACTCAATTCTTTCAACAAATCTATTCAAAAACTAATATCAAACAATTTCAATGACTAAAAGAATAATTATTAACCTTAAATATTTTGGGTTTGAACATGACATCTACATAAATGTTTGAACGTTTATTATCAAATAATTAAGAATTTTTTTAGTATATACTATCTTATACTCCTTCTAAGCTAATAAAAAAATTACAATCTCATACCTATATTATATAAAAATCGAATAAATAATTTAATTTCTTTATCATAGCTTAATATTTTTAAAGTTAAAAGATTTATGTAAGTTTTTACGTGCAAGTGTTGTAAAGTGAAATAAGATGTGCAAGTGTAGTATGGTAAAACAATATGAGTAACTAAAAAGAATAAAGGGTAAACTACCTAGATAGTCATTAAATTATTTATGTAGTTTTATTTTGAATATCAAACTATAATTTTATTAATCATGTTTCCTAAATATTTTTCTTTCAAAATCATCCATAATATTACATTTTAATTTCTTTTGTCACTCATTGTTAAAAAAACTAAAAGCACTATTGATGTGACCTTTTTAAATTTATGAATGGTGATATGTCATTATCTAATGATGATACACCAATATTACCATTATTTTTTTACCGAAGAGTGACTAAAATAAAATCAAAACATAAGGTTAGATATAATTTTAAAAAGAAAATAATTAAGTGGCCAAAATAGAATTGCATGAAGAACTAAATGACTAAATATATAGTTTATCCTAAAAAATTCTTTAGAAATCATTCTCATTAATTTTTCGATTGATCACGTGGTAAACACGTGTATGGATTACCTTATAGTAATAAAGTATAATTGACTTCTTAAAATTTACAATTTTGTTTATTTATTTTATTTATATGAATGCTTTGACAAACATGCTAATTAAAATAAACATTCAATTAAAAAATGAAAAATACAAAAAGTTTAGAAGCAAAATTTTAAATAATAAAACAATAAATAAATAAAATAAAATAAAATCTCACAATCTAAAAATTATACAAAATTTAAAAAATATTACATATAGCGATCTATTGTTTCTCTTAAATCAATAAAAGAGAAAAAAATGAACAGTCTAATAATAAAATGTAACCATATGACAAACGATTTAAAAAAAATGATACAAACAAACATTATTATTGATGATAATAAAATTCAAGTATCATCGGCAATGGCAAGATAATAGAATTATATAACATACATATTGTTAATTGATATATCTAAACTTTAACTTAACATATTTGGATGATTCTCTAAATATAAGACATTGTTTTATTGAGTCCCTCATTATTAAGAGTTACAAATTAGTAACAGTCTAAACTAAACACTAACCTGTTAACTGAAATATAATAATAATTTTAAATTTTAAAATAAGATTTATCATATCACAATCAACATGTAAACGATCAATTCAATCAATTTTTAACATAAAAGAAAATGTTTGAAATATATAAATATTTGAATGACCATTTTATAACTTTTATCAAAAAAATCAACAAAACAATATTCTTTAATCAAGATAACGTTTCAAACTTTTAATAATCGGGACTCAATAAAACAACACCATTTATGTACTTCACTCTTAATTACTATTTTATATTTAAAAAAGTAATTTATTGAATATTTAGTGATATAAAGAATGTATATCAGATAGATATTGATATTTGAATCAAAGGTACAATAAATTAAAAGCAAATATTAAATCATTCGGATTTCAAATATATTAAACAAGTCCAAATTTAAATATTAAAAAAAAGATATAAACATGTTATCAGAAACATGACATCAGAAAACTGCTAAATCTTCCACTTTTAACCTTCAAAAGGACCTTCGATACGATCAAAAATTATATAAGCTTATTCATGTTATTAAGGGGTAATTTTACACGCTTATTAGTCTCAAACTAACAATTATTTTTTTTCTTTTTAATTGCATCAATTTAGCCTGGAACATCATATAGATTGCATCAATGTTATCCTTTGATTGACATAAATCCGTTAAGCGTTACGATACTAATATGACAATCTACGGTACGGATCTAGTAATTCATGTGGCCATCATTTACAAATGGACTGTCATGTCAGTACCAAAACGGTCAAAGATAATTAAAGTCGGTCAAAAGGCAACATTAATACAATCATGAAGTTTGAAAGCTAAATTGATATATTTTTAAGTATACTTGTTTAAAATTAAATA